CTAGAATAAATGTCAGTTTCAAAACTAGTTCACAACACCCAGAATCATGGCTCAGAGAGTTTACTCTGCAGCATAGCACAGCCACATTTATCCAAATCAGAAATAATGCTTCACTGGGACCCCAAGCCAGGGACTTTGACTATGCTAGACAATCTGTGAAATCCACAAACTAATTAAATAAACCCCCTCTTGGAGGACAAAACAGGATACTTCCAAATAGAAAGAGCAGATTTCAAACCATGAATACAAAATGGCTGACACAGAAGGGAAAGATGACAGCAGCCTCTCATGGTCTAATTGGAGTTGTCATCACTCTCATCATTATATCTCTCTTTTATTCCATCACTTGCTTCATTTTCTTCACCATATTTTGATTTCCTTCTGGCTTTGTGGTACTGGGGATTGAAGTCAGGGGTGTCCTACATTTTTTTTTTGGTACCGGGATTGAACCCAGGGGCTCTTTACCATTGAGCCACATCCCTGACCCCTTTTATATTTTATTTAGAGATGGGGTCTCACAGAGTTGTTTAGGGCCTCACTAAATTGCTGAGGCTGGCTTTGAAATTGAAATCCTCCTACCTCAGCCTCCTGAGCTGTTGGGATTATAGGCGTGTGCCACCATACCCAGTGAGGTGCCCTAATTTTAAAATTTTTATTTTGAGATAGGGAGTTGCTAAACTATCAAGGCTTGCCTCAAACTTGCAATCCTTCTGCCTCTGCCTACCAAGAAGATGGGATTACTGTGTGTGGCTCTAATGTGCATATTCTTTTTCTTTTTTTTTTTTTTTTAATTTGAATATTTATTATTTTTTAGTTTTCGGAGGACACAACATCTTTGTTTGTATGTGGTGCTGAGGATCGAACCCAGGCCGCACGCATGCCAGGCGAGCGCGCTACCGCTTGAGCTACATCCCCAGCCCTAATGTGCATATTCTAAAGATAATTTTCTTTGTGGTTACCTTGGAAATCATCTATAACATTCTATAGTTATAATGTGATTTGAATTTATATTAACAAATTCAGTAGCATAAGAAAATTCTGCTGTAACACCCCCCCCCCCCCCGCCCTTTGGAAAGCTATTCTTTAACTATTGTTTGTCTGGGAAGATTAAAATTTTTTTTTTGTCACTCTTTAATGGACAATTTTGTTGGATATTCCTGGTCCTATATTTAGGTTATTCCTAAATATTATTCCTTTTGGCTGCTCCAAGGTTTCTGATGAGAAATTGGCTGATGATCTTATTGAGTATCTCTTGTATGTGAGGGGTGGCTTTTTTTTTTGCTGCTTTTAAGATTGATTGTCTTCTTTCTTTCTTCTTGTGGTATTGAGGATTGAACCCAGCACCTTTAAAGTCTAAGTAAGTACTCTACCACTGAGTTACATACTCTACCACTGAGTTACATACTCTACCACTGAGTTACATCCCCAGTTCTTTTTTTTTTTTAAATTTTTAGATTGGTCTATGTTTCCCAGGCTGGCCTCAAATTTGGAATTCTCCTGTCTCTTTTATGAAGTAGGTAGGATCTTAGATGTATACTATCCTGCCTGGTTAGGATTTGTTTTTTTTTTCCTTCCCTTTCCTTTTGTTCTTTCTTTCTATCCTCTTAATCCTTCCTTCCTTTCCCAGGGCTTCATGCATGCTGTACCTAGGGTTTTTTTTTTTTTTTTTTGGTACTGGAGATTTAACTCTGGGGCCCTTTACCACTGAGCTATGTCCCAGTCCCTTTTATTTTGAGACAGGGTCTCACTAAATTGCTTAGGGCCTTGCTAAATTGCTGAGGTTAACCTTGAACTTGGAAACCTCCTGCCTCAACCTCTTGATTTGTTTGGATTAAGGTGTGTCCTGCGCTCCAGATCCAACCCTAGGAGTCTTTCTTTGTCTTGTTGTAGTTTGATAGTTTGATTATGTGTCTTGGTATGAGTTTGTCTTGAACTTTGTGAATTTCTTGGATTTTCAAATTCATTTCTTTCATCAGCTTTTGAGAGCTTTTTTCCTTTTTGTTTTTCATTTTATCTAGTTTTAGTGAAAGTTCTATATGAGCTTACTTTATTCTTATGTCTTCTTAGTTGTTTCTTCCTTTTATCTGCTCTATTCCTACTTGGCAAAATTTGGCTTTCCAATCAAGGAAACTTTGTCTAGTGATAAGTTTAACTAATGATAGCCTAACCTAGTTATAACCATGTTGCTAGGGTGAATGCCCACACAGATAGTTCTGTTTTTAGCCTTTTCCCTTCTCACCAGTTTAATGTAGATGATATATTTCTTCCTATAAGGCTGGACTGCTTTGCCAGTTTTCTGACTTCTAAACTGTCCTTTCACAACCTGAAATTCTTCATCCTTTCATATAGGCATGGATCAAACATTGTACTTCTATTGCAGCTCTTTGCAAAGAGAAGACATAATCTTCATATGCATGGGGGAAGGTGCATTGAAATACCTTTTATTCTTCTTGGCTTTGGTCAGAAGTCTCAAAAGGATTGAACTTTATTTGGCTGCTGCCACTTTAACAGTGGCTACAAAAGGGATGAACCACCAGAATGTCTTCAAATAATCTTTCTACCTCCTTTGTTCTCCTTGGAATTTCCATGATGTATATGTTGGTTCATTTGATTATACTCCCCAACATGTCTTAGGCTTTATTCACTTTTTTTTTTCTTCTTCTTCTTTTTTTTTTTTTTTAATTGATAATGGGGATTGAGCCCAGGGCTACTTAACCACTGAACCACATCTCCAGCCCTTGTTATTTTTTGAGACAGGGTCTCATTAAGTTGCTTAGGTTCTCACTGAGTTACTGAGGCTGGCTTTGAACTTGTGATCCTCCTGCCTCAGCCTCCCAAGCCACTGGAATTATAGGCGTGTGCCACCACGCCTAGCCTTTATTCACTTTTGTTCATTCTTTTTCTTTCTGCTTCTCGGACTTAGTGGTTTAAATTTTCCTAATTTAGCAGGGCACAGTGTCATATGTCTCTAATCCCAGTTATTTGGAGGCTGAGGCAAGAGGACTGGATCAAAAGTGTGTGTGTGTGTGTGTGTGTGTGTGTGTGTGTGTGTGTGTGTTCGTTCTTGGGAATTGAACTCAGGACCTCATGCATGCTAGGCAAGGGCTCTATCACTGAGCTGCTTCCCTAGCTCCTTGGAAGATGGGAAGTTTGAAGCTAGTCTGGGCAATTTAGTAAGACACTATCTCAAAATAACATAAAATGAAATAAAAATAGTTGGAGATGTAGCTCATTGGTAGAGTACTTGCTTTGCCTGTGTGAGGTTCTGTGTTTGATCCACAGTACCACAAAAAGAAAAAAAAACAACAACAACAAAAAACCAAAACCAAATCTAAAAATACTGTACAAAAATAAAACAACCACTTCTCCCGGTCTTCAGAATAGCTTTTTTCTGATACATTTTTTCTTTTTTGAGAATTTTTAATATTTATTTTTTAGTTTTCGGTGGACACAACATCTTTGTTTGTATGTGGTGCTGAGGATCGAACCCGGGCCGCACGCATGCCAGGCAAGCGTGCTACCACTTGAGCCACATCCCCCGCCCCTGATACATTTTTTCAACACTTTAATTATACTTTCTGTGACCCTGGGCATCAGCCTGAAACGGAGTGTTAATGGTGTTTTCTGGTCTTGTGTGATTTCATTTTGCTTGGGTTTTTGTGCGACTTTCTAAATTTTCCCATTTACATGCAGCTTTTGAATGTCCTAATTTCCAAAGAATTTCATCCCAGCTTTTCCACTGTGCCTTTACCAATGTTCTCTTGCCCCAGATGTGAGTCTATGGCCTGCTTTACAGCTTCATTAGCAGTGCCTGCAACTTTTTCTTGAGTTAGGTGAAATAGAGAAAAGCACTTTTCATCAATCCTAGATATTTCCTGTCCCACAAGGTTGAATAAATATACCTAGTAATTTGTGAATAAAGTCTGCTCTTCTCTTCAAGGACAGAGCTAGGAACTGGTCTACCACTGTTCAAGATCATAGTAATTGCCACATTGGTGAGGAAAGGACAAGTAAAAATGCCACAAAAGTTTTGTACTGTTTTGAAGATGTCTTTTTGGTTGTTTGTAGTACTGGGAACCACACCCTAGTCCTTTTTTTTTTTGAAGGAGGTTCTAAGTTGCTAAGGCTGGTCTTGAACTTAACAATTTAGATGTTTTTTGATATGGAGGAATGAGCATTGGAACTTCCTTGTTAGGTATTTTGATAATCTGTGTGTGTTTTTTCCCCCACTGTCTTGCTATCACTTTCTGTATCAAATGTCTTTGGATTTTCAAAAGTTTATATATATATATATATATTTAGTTGTAGTTGGACACAATACTTTTATTTTATTTATTTTTATGTGATGCTGAGGATCGAACTAAGTGCCCCATACATGGTAGGCAAGTGCTCTACTGCTGAGCCTCAACCCCAGCCCAAGTTTTTAAATTTTGAAGTCCACTTTGTCTACTTTTTAGTTTGTCAATTTTACTGCTAGTTTCATATTTAGGAAACCCTTGCCAAATATAAAGAGTTTTCAATAGCTGAAGAAAAAGTTCTGGAGATATTTGCTTGATCTGTGTTACATTCCTGTCTTTAAAGCAATCACTTTTGGTGAAGATAATAAACTAATCTAGATTAGTCAGATTGAATGGTGTAGGATTAGCTGCTTGGACTGAGAATGGGGTTAAATGCTAAGATGCTATTTCCCAAAATGCAGGACACATGGGTGCTAGAAAAATTAATAAGTGCTTATTTAATTTAATAAATGTGAAACTCTTAGTAGTAATATATTTTAGAAGTTTGTAGTAATGAAGAATATATATTTTTTCATTGAAACTGTATTTTTTGTCATTATAAATTAATATGTAAATATTCAGGAGTGACTTCCAAAAATATTCCTGCTAATGTGGTAGTTCCTGATATACCACACAGAGATCAACTGGTTTAGTCTTTGCTTTATGTTCTCAAGTGCTTACTTTTTTGTGGTTTATTTTATACAGGTACTGCTCTAAGTAGAGTTTGTTAGAAAAAAGGATCTACTTACTGGGGCCCTCCTGACATAGAAAGAGATGTGGGGGGATTCTCGATCTGCTAACAGAACAGGACCTTTTCGGTAAGTTCTGAAATCTGAATATTGAAATTGTCAGTATTTTAATGATAAGTGTATAATATAACATTTCTTCTTCGTGAAGAAATAACTCTTGAGTTTTTAGAAATAGAAACTATTTAAAAAGTTTCAATCATTTCTTTTTCATTTTATGGGGTGTTAGGGAATGAGAATGGAACTCAGAACTTCATACATGCTAGGCAGGTGCTCTACCACTGAGCTATATCCTCAACCCATTGTTAGTCATTTCTAAAATGATTGTGAGACTGACTATGAAGCATGCCAAGGGTTTTGTCTTATAACAGTTTTTTTTTCTTAACCACTGAGGCACATCCTCAGCCCAGCCTGTTTTTTTGTTTGTTTGTGTTTGTTTTTTTAGTTGTAGATGGACATAATAATACTTTTATTTTATTTTGATGCCGGGGATTGAACTCAGGGGCACTCGGCCATTGAGCCACATATCAGCCCTATTTTGTATTTTATTTAGAGATAGGGTCTCACTGAGTTGTTTAGGGCCTTGCTGAGTTGCTGAGGCTGGCTTTGAACTCATGATCATCCTGCCTCAGCCCCCGAGCCACAGGAATTACAGGTGTGTGCCATGGCACCTGGTTCCTTTATTTTATTTATTTATTTTATGTGGTGCTGAGAATTGAACCCAGTGCTTCACATGTGCTAGGCAAGCACTCTACCACTGAGCTACAACCCCAGACTGTTTTATTTTTTCTTTTGAGACAGTGTCTTGCTAAATTGCTTAGAGCTCACTAAGTTGCTGAGGCTTGCCTCAAACTTGTGATCCTTCTGCTTCAGCCTCCCAGGTTACTGGGATTATAGGCATGTGCCATCATTGCTGGGTTCTTTTTTTTTTAAATATTTATTTATTTATCTTTTTTTTTTAGTTATCGGTGGACACCACATCTTTGTTTGTATGTGGTGCTGAGGATCGAACCTGGGCCGCACGCATGCCAGGCGAGCGCGCTACCGCTTGAGCCACATCCCCAGCCCATTGCTGGGTTCTTATAATGTTTTTTCTCTCCCACATTTTAAATTGGTGTGTTATTATAGTTGTACATAATCTTAATACTTTATGTAAACATTAAAAATATTGCTATATATTTTATTTATATTTATTTCTTATAGCAAAGTAATGCATACTTGGTTAGTAGGAACAGTTAGCAAAATATACATTTTAAAGTTCACTTATAGGTCTCTGATTTTAGGAGTTACTAGGTATGAACAAGTGGAGAACATCTTAGCATTTATTTGTAAATGGAGTTGTGTGTGTGTGTGTGTGTGTGTGTGTGTGTTTTACACCATACTGGGGATTGAAGAGCCAGAGTACTCTACCACTGAGCTACATCTCGAGCTCTTTTTATTTTTTATTTTGAGATAAGGGTCTCACTAAATTCCTCTGGGTTGTATTTCACATTTTTATAATGAGTTAACTTTTTTTTGTTTTGTTTTGTTTTGTTTTTTGATACTAGGGATTGAACTCAGGGGCACTCAACCACTGAGCCACATTCCTATCCCTATTGATCCTAGAGACAGGATATCGCTGAGTTGTTTAGCGCCTCGCTGAGTTGCTGAGGCTGGCTTTGAATTTGCGATCCTCCTGTCTCAACCTCGTGAGCTGCTGGGATTACAGGCAAGTGCCACCATGCCTGGCTCTTCCTTTTTCTTTTTCTTTTTGTGTGCTGGGGATTGAACCCAGGGCCTTGTGCATGGGAGATGAGCACTCTGCCAATTGAGCCATATCCCCAGCCTCACTTCCTTTATTTTATTTATTTATTTAAAAAGTATATATTTTGTTTTAGGTGGACACAATATCTTTATTTATTTTTATGTGGTGCTAAGGATCAAACCCAGCGCCCTGCGCATGCCAGGCCAGTGCGCTACCACTTGAGCCACATCCCCAGCGCCCACTTCCTTTATTTTTGAGACAGAATCTTGCTACATTGTTCAAGCTGGCTTGACCACCTGGGCTCAAGTAGCTGAGATTACAAGTATGTGCCCTTGGGCCTAGTTCTGGAATTAATTTTTTCTTTTAAATATTTATTTATTCTTAGGTATAGATGGACACAACACAATGCCATTATTTTTATGTGGTGCTGAGAATTGAACCTAGGTCCCGCCCATGCTAGGCGAGTGCTCTACTGCTGAGCCACAAACCCAGCCCTGGAATTAATTTTTTTAAAATTTTTTCATACTAGGAGATTTAATCTAGGGGTACTTTACCACTGAACTACATCTCTAGTCCTTTTAATTTTTTTTTCTTTTTTAAAGCCAGATTCTTCTTTTTTTTTAGTTTTAGATGGACACAATATATATATTTTTAATGTTTATTTTTTAGTTGTAGTTGGACACAATACATTTATTTTTTTAAAATATTTTTTAGTTTTGGTGGACACAATATCTTTATTTTTTATTTTTATGTGGTGCTGAGGATCGAACACAGTGCCTTATGCATGCTAGGCAAGCATTCTACCACTGAGCCACAACCCCAGTCCACCACCGATTTATTTATTTATTTTTTTAAAGATTTTTTTTTTTTTTTTTTTTTTAAGAGAGAGAGAGAGAGAGTTTTTTAATATTTATTTTTTTTTAGTTTTCGGCAGACACAACATCTTTCTTTGTATGTGGTGCTGAGGATTGAACCCGGGCCGCACGCATATCAGGCGAGCGCGCTACCACTTGAGCCACATCCCCAGCCCCCACCATCGATTTATTTTATTTTATGTGGTGCTGAGAATCGAACCCAGGTCCTTGCATGTGCTAGGTCAGTGCTCTACTGCTGAGCCACAACCCCAGCCCTGGACACAATATCTTTATTTGATTTATTTACTTTTTGTATGGTGCTGAGGATCGAACCCAGTGCCTCACATATGTGAGGCAAGCACTCTGCTACTGAGCCACAATTCCATCCCCAAAGTCCTTTTAATTTTAAATTGAGTCTTGCTAAGTTGTCCAGCCTGGCCTTGAATTTGTGATTCTCTTGCCTTAGCCTCCCAAGTAGCTAGGATTACAGGCATGTGCTATGGCACCCCTGTAGAATTAATGTTTTTATAGCTAGTATAATACACACTGATGCACTGCTGATAGTATTTGTGTGTGTGTGTATGTGCGCCAGGGATTGAACCCAGGGGGAGCTTTGCCACTGAACTACATCCTCATTCCTTTTTATTTTTTAATTTTTAGGGTTTTTTTTTTTTTTTTTTGTACTGAGGATTGAACCCAGGGGCACTCAATCACTAAGCTATATCCCCAGCCTTTTTTTGTATTTTATTTAGAGACAGGATCTTACTGAGTTGTTTAGAGCCTCACTAAGTTGCTGAGGCTGGCATTAAACTCACAATCCTTCTGCCTCAACTTCCCGAGCTTCTGGGATTATAACTGTATGCCACTATGCTCAGTTAATTTTTAGTTTTGAGACAGGGTCTTGCTAAGTTGCTGAGGATCTCACCAAGTTAATGAGGCAGGTCTTGAATTTGAGATCTTCCTGCCTCAGCCTCCCAATTTCCTGAGATTATACAGTCATGCGGCTCTGGACCCAGCTCTTTTGTACCTTTTTTAGGACCAAGGACTGAACTCAGGGCCTTGGGCATGCTAGGCAAGTTGTCTGCCACTGAGCTAAATCCCCAAACCCTGTATCATCTTTAAAACAAATTTTTTTTATGGGGGGATGGTGGTGCTAGGGATGACACCTGGGGCTTCAGACATATAAGAAGTGTTCCACCACTGAGCCATATCCCCAAACCTTATTTTTAAGATTTCTTTTTTTTTTTTTCTATACTGGGCATTGAACCCAAGGATGCTTAACCACAGAACCACATTCCTAGCCCTTTTTACTTACATTTTATTTAGTGATAGGATCTTTCTTAGTTGCTTAGGGCCCTGTTAAGTTGCTGAGGCAGGTTTTGAAATTGTGATCCTCCTGAATCAGCCTTCTGGGCCGCTGGGATTACAGGCATGTGCCCCTGAGCCCCACTTATTTTTAAGATTTTAGACTAGAGGGAGATATAGTTTATATAATATTCCTCTTTGGGGGGACTAATTTAAACCAAAAATAGGTATTTTGCAGGATTAGAATGTATGAAATATCGTTTTTTGTTTTGTTTTGTTTTTATATTTGTGCCCAGGGTCTTGTGCATGCTAGGCAGATACTACACTACTGAAGTACTTCCCCAACCCTTTAAAATAGTTTAAGAATCCTATATATATAGCTGGGCATTGTGGCACATACTTATAATCACAGACTTAAGAGTCTGAGGCAGGAAGATTACAGATTTGAGGCCAGCCTTGGAAATTTAGGGAGACCCTGTTTCAAAATTAAAAAGGCTGGGTGCAATGGCAGTTGCCTGTAATCCCAGAGACTCTGGAGGCTGAGATAAGAGGATCGATTGTAAGTTCTAGGTCAGCCTCAGCAATTTAGTGTAGGCCCTAAGCAACTTGGGGAGACTGTCTCAAAAAATAAAAAAGGGTTGTAGCTCAGTGGTAAAGCCCCTGTTTTCAATCCTCAGTACCAAAAATAAAATTATATTAACAAAATAAAAAGTACTGGAGGTATAGCTTGTTGGTAGAATGCTCCTGCATTCCATTTCCAATGGGGAGGGGGATATCTTCATATAATCAGTTACTTTTGATCTACTTTCTCTTAGGAGGGTAAAGTAATCCTTAGGGCAGTACTCAGAGGCAGAAGTTGGGTGTGTTCTGCTCAGAAAATGCTCTCGCAAGTAAACATATAGATTTAGATGCTAACACTTATACCGTGAATCTGAGGAATCTTCAGTCTTCCCACAAGCTAATTAATAGGACTTTAATGATACATATATTTTTTTGTGGTACTTGTGGTGCTCTATCACTGAGCTACATTCTCATCCCTTTTTATTTTTTATTGGAGATATTCTTGCTAATTTACCAAGAACTTAAAATCTTTCTGCTACAGCCTCCCAAATAGCTGGGATTTCAAGTGTGTACCACTATACCCAGCTGTTGAATGATTTTTAAATATGAGAGACACTATAGTGTCTTACTTTGTGTTACTTATGAAGAACATTTAAACTTGTTTCTCTTATGATGGACATAACTAATGTTAATGGGAGCCCATGGAAGACATTGTGTTCTGCAAATTCATTAAATGTACATCATTCTCATGTTTAGGTTAATGTTAAGTTTCTATTACTTAAAAAAAAGAATTGTTAGTGTAACTTTCTTGAAATGAGTGACCCAGAATTAGTTGTCCTTTGGATTTTTTTTTTCTTAGACTAGAAACTGCATGTTCTGAAGGGAGAACTGAGTTGGTCTTGATTTCTTAATACTTTTGTTTTACTGCTAAACAACAGATGACCTTTCAAATAATTTTATGTTTTCCTTTTTCATGTGTCCTTACCCAGGATTCTAGGTGCTTAATTGCCTACTTAAATTCCATAATGTTTGACCAAAACTAAAATGAAAAAGTTAGGGAAAGGGAAGAAGTTGGGTAGAATGAAAGATTGAGCCAGCTCTTGTTTATCTGTTGCGTTCTATAAACTGAGATTGTGAGTTTAATACTGTACCTATTTTTAAAATACATTTTGTTTCTGTGTAAAGTTAGGCATTGGTACAGGAATATAATTTTCTTCATTTGGGACATGGGAATAATGCTTAAAGACCTAAACTTGTCACTAGGTCTCTTCTAGTTTTAAGCTCCTGGATGCTCTTGCTTAGCTTACACATGCTTTGTGGCATGATTCATGCTAATTTCTGTGATACCCTTGGGTAGTTATAATAATAAGACCCAGCTGAGAGTACTTTCAGGCAGAATCATTGTAGAACTGGGATTTAGATACAGCCAGAAGGTTGCTTATCTGGTAAACACTGGTGTTGCTCCTAATGGTGATGATGTACAACCAGCATTTTTTGGGGGGCCTGAATCCATTTTGGCTGTAGTCATAATTAAATATTTTGGGATATTACCCCTAGATGCAGCAGTAGACACTTCCTAAAACTTAGTGTAAGAAATTTACATTGCATTGATTTTTCCAATGTATAGGAATCATCATGTGTTGACCTTGGAATTCTAAGTTCCCTGGCTTTAGGAAATGGACATTTTTGTAGTATGTCACCATTGTTAGCTTATCTGGTATTGCGGATTTTCCCTGTTGCAGGACTGGGTGAAAGCTTTTTCTGCAGCAGTCATGTTGAAAACCTTGTGTTGACTTTCCTCGTGTTCTGAAATGGGAGCATAAAAGTTTACTCGTCACTTCGTCTTAAAATAGCAAAACTTTGCTGTTTTCTGCAGATCTAGGACCTTGTTGCAGAACTCTGCCAAAAAAAAAAAAAAAATGTTTAAAGAAGAATGTGCTGTGATTAGAGAAGAATATGCTGGTGTGTAGATTTCAAACTCTCTGGACAATATGAATAACACTGTCTTTGTTTCTACAGTGGGAGCCAAGAAGAAAGGTTTGCTCCCGGGTGGAACAGGGATTATCCTCCTCCTCCCCTTAAGAGTCATGCTCAAGAGAGACACTCTGGCAACTTTCCTGGCAGAGATTCACTTCCCTTTGATTTCCAGGGGCATTCGGGGCCTCCCTTTGCAAATGTAGAGGAGCATTCTTTCAGCTATGGAGCTAGAGACGGACCACATGGTGACTATCGAGGAGGGGAGGGACCTGGACATGATTTCAGGGGGGGAGATTTTTCATCTTCTGATTTCCAGAGCAGAGATTCATCACAGTTGGACTTCAGGGGTAGGGACATACATTCTGGGGATTTTCGGGATAGAGAAGGGCCACCTATGGACTACAGGGGTGGAGATGGTACTTCTATGGATTATAGAGGTAGGGAGACACCGCATATGAACTACAGAGACAGGGATGCTCACACTGTTGAATTCAGAGGTAGGGATGCTCCTCCATCTGACTTTAGGGGCCGGGGTACCTATGATTTAGATTTTAGAGGCCGGGATGGATCCCATGCAGATTTTAGGGCAAGAGATTTATCAGATTTGGATTTCAGGACCAGAGATCAATCTCGTTCTGATTTTAGGAATAGAGATATAGCTGATTTGGACTTCAGGGACAAAGACGGAACACAGGTAGACTTTAGAGGGCGAGGTTCAGGTACTACTGATCTAGACTTTAGGGACAGGGATACACCACATTCAAATTTCAGAGGTAGACACCGGTCCAGGACTGATCAGGATTTTAGGGGCAGAGAGGTGGGACCTTGTATGGAATTTAAAGATAGGGAGATGCCTCCTGTGGATCAAAAAATTTTGGATTACATTCAGCCCTCTGCACAAGATAGAGAACATTCTGGTGTCAGTGTGAACAAGAGAGAAGAATCCACACATGACCATACAGTAGAAAAGCCCACTTTTGGTGTTCAGAAGGCAGAATTTGAGCATTCAGAAACAAGAGAAGGAGAAACAAAAGGTGTAGCCTTTGAACATGAATCTCCATCAGACTTTCAGAACAGCCAAAGTCCAACTCAAGACCAAAACAAATCACAGCTTTCTGGAGGTGAACAGAGTTCAGACGCTCGTCTGTTTAAAGAAGAAGGAGATCTGGATTTTCTTGGTCAGCAAGACACTGATTACAGAAGCATGGAGTACCGTGATGTGGATCATAGGTTGCCAGGGAGCCAGATATTTGGCTATGGCCAGAGCAAGTCTTTTCCAGAGGGCAAAACTCAACGAGACCTACAGGTATGTTGATGAGGTGGATTGCTTTTTTCTTTTTTCATAAGGCATTTCTGAAGGATTAAGTATAGAATCTAGGACCTTGAGTCCTTGATGTCTCATTGCCCTACTATTAAAAAGCAAAATTTGGTCAATCCCCAGGGCTGCAGAACAAAAAAGGCAAAATTTGGTTGGGCATGGTGGCACACACCTATAATCCTAGCAACCAAGGAGGTTGAGTCAGGAGGATTGCAAGTTTGAGACCAACCTTAGGAACCTAGTGACCCTGTCTCAAAATACAACTAGAGTTGTAGCTCAGTGGTTCAGTTCCTAGTACCCAAAACAAAAACAAGCAGCAACAACAAAAGACCTCATCTCAATAGAAAAAGCAGATTTTGTATTCACTATTGAAATGTAGGAATGTAAATCTCTAGAGAAAGGGGCCTCAGTTCAGATAATATTTTTTGGGCAGAGTGGGTACCAGGGATTGAATCCAGAGGCACTTAACCTCTGAGCCACATTCCCAGCCCTTTTCATTTTTTATTTTAAGATGGAGTATCCCTAAGTTGCTTAGGGCCTTGCTAAGATGCAGAGGCTGGCTTTGTATTTGTGATCCTCTTGTCTCAAACTCCCAGTTGTTGGGAGTATAGGTATGTGCCACTGTGCCAATCATATAATATTTTTGATAGGTGTTGATTCATTATTTTGCTTTATTGGGCTGATTTAAATACCTTGGGACGATTTAATCTGAAAAGTAACTATCTTTTGGAAGTGATTTTCACAACTTTTTGATAGTCAAGCATTGTGATTTAGGATTCATTTTCTTAATTAAACTCAGGCTACCTAAGAGTCTCTCTGTAGTCATGAGGAGGTTATTTAAAAGTTGTAATTTGGGCTGGATTTGTGGGCTCAGTGGTAGAATGCTTGCCTAGCATGTATGAGGCATGTGGTTTGATTCTTAGCACAGAATATGAATAAATCAAAAAAAAATTAGCACGCCTGTAATTCCAGTGGCTTGGGAGGCTGAGGCAGGAGCATCACGAGTTCAAAGTCAACCTTAGCAAAAGTGAGGTGTTAAGCAACTCCATGAGACCCTGTCTTTAAATAAAAAACAAAATAGGGCTGGGGACGTGGCTCAGGGGTTGAGTGCCCCTGAGTTCAATCCCCAGTAACCCTCCCCACCCTCCCCCCGATTAAACATCGACAACTTAAAAAAATTGTTATTATCTTCTTTTTTTAAAAAAAAAAAATTTGTAGTTGTGGATAGACAGAATGCTTTTTATTTTAATTGTTAATTTTTTATGTGGTGCTAAGGATCGAACCCAGTGCCTCATACATGCTAGAAAGCGCTTTGCCACTGAGCTACAGTCCCAGCCCTTAGTATCTTTTTGTAGCTAATTTAATTAACTTTAAATGTTACATTTCTATGCAAGGAAGTTTATGTTTGCAACTTAATAAGAAGATGTTATCTTTAAAATAGATTTTATCAATTTCTATTTAGGTTTCTATTATTTTGGACAGTGCTCTTAATACATATTACCCAATAATGGGTTTTGAGAATGTTAGAGCCTGGTGACCACATAATTTATTATCTAAATCAGTTTGCTTTTAAGAGTAAAAGAGGACACTGTTGATTATGCTAGGCAATAGGCATAACTAGGAGATAGGATCATTTAGTTATAGGAGTCTTTCTCAAAAGTTTTTTCAGCTTTTATCTTTTGAAGTGGAGAGAAATTGATTGGAGGGAGATATTGTCATTTAGTTACAGGAGACTTTTTCTTAAAAGTTAAATTCTAACTATAATTTCGAAATGGAGGAAAATTGGAGCTAAGGCTTTTATAAGTATGAAGAGTACAGATTTCTTTGAATTTTACTGTTAAGTTGTGTGGTTTACACTTACATGACACCTTTTGACTTTGTTCTGAAATTTGTTTATAAGAAATCATCTTTATTAAATGACATCTGCTCAGATTTCCCTTTTTGCTATTTGCTCATTCAGGAAAAAAATACAGTTTTGGGAATAATAATATTTTTGTTTGTTTTTCTATGAAAGTCCTATTGGGGCTAATTTGTTTTTCTCTCTTTTTTTTAGATGTTGATGAATCTTTATTTTATTCATTTATTTATATGTGGTGCTGAGAATTGAACCCAGTGCCTCACGCATGCTAGGCAAGTGCTCACTGAGCCTCTCCCTTTTTCTTTTTGATGCTGGGGATTGAAATTCGAGGGTCTTGTGCATGCTAAGCAAATGCTCTCACTTAGTTAAACTCTCAGCCCAGTATTATTTCTCTTTATGTCTTATTTTACAATTTTAAGATTCCTTGGGCTGAGGATATGGCTCAGTTGGTAGAGTGCTTGCCTTGCATACACAAGGCCCTGGGTTCAATCCCTAGCACCCTCCCCTCCACATACACACACACACACACAAAGACTCCTTCAATGATCCTGGGTTAATTCATTTGTAATCCAAGGATTTGAAATCAAAATTTAAAATAATAAAGTCATATTTTTTCACATCTTTACATGATTCAGTCATTTTCATTTTTGATCCTGAATACCTATATTTCATGTTGTTTCACTTTTCACACAAAAGTATATTTATTGGTGAAATAATTTTATATTCTGAATTTAAGGATCAAGATTACAGGACTGGCACAAGTGAGGAGAAGCCTAGCAGGCTTATTCGATTAAGTGGGGTGCCTGAAAATGCCACAAAAGAAGAGGTGAGGCATGTGTTTTTTTCTGTCTCTGTCAATTAAATTTTTAACCTTATTTTGAAAAATTATAGATTCACAGGAAAGTATAAAGAAATGTATAGGAAAGAAAAGCATGTGTATTCTTTATTCAACTTCCCTTGGTGTTAATATGTTGGATAACTGTAGTATATCTAAACCAGGGATTGACTTTGTTATAATTCATAGAACTTATTCATATTTTGGTAGTTATATATGTATTCACTGAGGTGAGGTTTGTAAAACCATGACAAATGGTGACCTGGTAATCATCTGGTAGGGCATATTATTTCAGGAGTCCATAGATAAAGATACTGATTTATAGTAGTATGAGTTTGGAAGCTGCCTATCTGCTCAGTTAGGATAGACTGACTAAATTTATGGCAGAAGTTATGGAAGAATTGGTCAGGATATTGCAACAGGAGCTAATAGTACTTATTCTGTGATAGGCATTGTGTATGCTTATAAGCATTAATTCACTTAATTATAATGACCATGAATAGGGTTCTTTTCTTTCTTTTTTTGGTTGGTGGGGATACTGGAGATTGAATCCAGGGGGGCCGAACCACTGAGCCCACATCCTTAGGCACCCCACCCCCACCCCACACTTTTTTGAGACAAAGTCTTGCTAAGTTGCTAAGGCTGGCCTTGAACTTCTGATCCTCCTGCCTTGGCCTTCTAAGTAACTGGGATTAGAGGTTGGTGTGTCACCCTGCCCGGAATGAATAGATATTCTCTTTTTTTTTAAATATATTTTTTTAGTTGTAGTTGGACACAATACTTTTATTTTATTTATTTTTATGTGGTACCGAGGATCAAATCCAGCTCATTGCATGTGCTAGGCGAGTGCTCTACCACTGAGCCACAACCCCAACCCCTGAATAGGTATTCTTAATACATTCACTGCAAGTGTTAAGTATTATAGGTTGAAGATTCCATATCTGAAATGCTTGGGATCAGATGTATTTCAGATTGGGGGGCTTTGGATTTGGGAATTTTGGAGTAGACTTTACTGAGCATCCCTAATAGGAAAACCTGAAATCCAAAATGCTGCAAAATCTGAAGCAGATTTTTGGATTAAGGATTCAACCTGTATTGAGTACCAGGCACTGAATGATATAGCAGTGAATATTATAAAGTCACTGCCTCATCAATAATACAAAAGCAAACAAAAGATAGGTAACATTTTGAAACAGTGATACATTTTCTGAAGAACACTAAAGGTTTAGGGCTGGGGATGTAACTAGCACAGTACTTGCCTAGCATGTACTGAGGACCTGGGTTTGATCCCCAGAACAACAACAAGAACAAAAGATGTAGATGTGACTTTGTATTTTGCAGTTAGGTATCACTGAAGAAGTGACATTTGTAGTTAGAGAACGATTCATTTGAATATAAAGAAAAAACTGACCAGACCGAATTACCATGGCTCTGGACTGAATGAGCTTAGTGCATCATTTTATGTTTAACAGGTAATTAACTAGACACTGAAAGGTTACACAACAAGTGAGTAGGAGATGCTTGGAATTCAGACAGTTTGATATCAGAGTTTGAGCTCTTGAAGGTTATGCTCATCTGATTTTTTTTTACACTTAGGAATTTTTGAATAAGCATGTTCTATTCATTTAGCATTTTTTTGAGCACCTCGTGTGCATGTCTTAATTTTGCCTTTATAAAATAATCATAGCTTTAAATTATGTAGAATAAAAACCAGTAGGGAAAATATAAAATTCACTGTTTGAATATGATTTGTATCATTATGTGTAAATACCATTTTCTTGCAGATTCTTAATGCCTTTCAGACTTCCGATGGCATGCCTGTGAAGGAGTTGCAGTTAAAGGAGTATAATACAGGTGAGTTTCTTTATATGCATGTGGCCTTGGGTTAGGAAGGGTCTTTGTCAGATCTCTGCATCATATGCTACTTAATTTTTTTTTTTAAGAAACCACAGTTGGGGCTGGGATTGTGGCTCAGTGGTGGAGCACTTGCCTAGTATGTGTGAGGCACTGGGTTGAATTCTCAGCACCACATATAAATAAATAAAATAAAGGTCCATCAACAACTAATTAAAAAAAAAAAAAAGAAAACACAATTAAGATTTCCAGAAGCCTCCTGTTGGTGCCTTCAAATAATACCCAACTTTAGTCTTAGCTGGTTCTTTGTGGATGTTTGTCCACAAATGGGCGATGAGGATGCATGTTCCAGTTCTGAGTTCCTGTGAGATATGAAGTGAGTGTTGCAGCATCTGTCCCTGACTATATTTTACATAACGAAGTTATTAAACTTTCTGTTTGTTCTTTATGGTGGTGGAATGCTTACATTTGAGCCTAGGATTTACTAACTTGTTGAATATAAAATTTTACATTTCCTTGTTTCAAAGTGAAACTTGCCAGTTTCCACAGAAATTGTACCAATTAGAGTTTTCTTGAATTCTCATTCTTGCTCTGAGAACAGATTCCTGAAACAGCCGTTTTGTTGAAACCCATGAATAGATCCAGAAGAGCTTTCTTTTTGACCTCTAGTCTGTGGTCTGATGAAAGTTGGCTGAATATACACATAATATTTCAGAGTACCAAATTTGGTCAGTTCCTTTAAATCTTATTATAGAAAAAGGAAGTCAAAAGCAAAATGCTAAGCAATCAAGTTGTGACCAATATTTTTAGGACTGCATAATATGAAATAGTTTAAAAATAAAGGTAATCTCAAAGTGACCTGTTTTGTAGAATTTTAAATTTAAGAAGAGCATTAATCTCACAAAACATAGAATTATAGTAATCGAGCTAAAGAAATCTTCAAGTTAAGAGCATATAATATTTTTGAGGATATAGTTTATTTTTATTTATTTATTTTTTATATTTTTGAGAGAGAGAGAGAGAGAATTTTTTTAATATTTATTTTTTAGTTTTCGGCTGACACAACATCTTTGTTTGTATGTGGTGCTGAGGATCGAACCCGGGCCGCCCGCATGCCAGGCGAGCGCGCTACCGCTTGAGCCACATCCCCAGCCCCTATAGTTTACTTTTAAATACTTTACCATTAAATTGAATTTTTACATTAGGTAATTTTTTTATATTTATTTTTTAGTTATAGGTGGACAAAATATCTCTTATTTTATTTTTTTATTTTTATATGGTGCTAAGGATTGAACCCAGTGCTTCACACATGCTAGGCGAGCACTCTACCTCTGAGCCACAAAAAAGCCTGGTCATTATTTCTTTAAATGGGTTTCTTAGAAGAAGATTATCCACAAAAGTAAATTTTATGCTTGAAAGAATGTGGTATTTGTGTTAAGTTCAGTAAGTGTTTTTTTTTCTGCAATTTGATAATCAACTTAGAAATATTATTTCTTAGAAAGCAATTATTTCTTTTTTTTTTTTTAAATATATTTTAGTTGTTAATAGACCTTTATTTTATTTATTTATATATGGTGCTGAGAATCAAACCCAGTACCTCACACATGCCAGGCAAGTGCACTACCACTGAGCCCCAGCCCCAGACAATAGAGTGTATTTTGACATATTATACATACATGGAGTATAACTTCTCATTCTTGTGGTTACACATGATGTGGAAAAATTACTTTAATATACAGGGTCTAAAGAGCAAATTCTTAAATTTGCTGGCTATTAGTATTGTGATTGACAGACAAAAGACAATAGATACATGTGAAATCATCCTGGGCAGTGATTTTTATTAAAAAGGCATTTTATTGGGGCTGGGGCTGTAGCTCAGTGGTTGAGCGCTTGCATCATACCTGTGAGGCACTGGATTTGATCTCAGACCACATAAAAATATATGAATAAATAAAAATATTGTGTCCAGCTACAACTAAAAAAAAAATCTTTTTAAAAAGTATTTTATTATATAAAGTGATATGTACTTTATAGTTTTTTTCTTTTAATGAAAGAATTGGATTACCCTTGTCCATGTTACCAATGTTAACACCTTTTTGTGACAAGTAGAATGAACTTTTGAAAATATTAGTCAGATCATGTTATTCCTATGCCTAAAACCCTCTAATGGCCTTCCATTTTCACTTGGAAGAAATTCCCAACTCCTTATTCTGACATAACAAATTTCTGCATGAGCTGGTCCTTGGCTGTTTGTCTGACTTCATCCTGTACTGCTCTCTACTTGCCCTATTACACTGTAGCCATACTGGGCTTTTCTCTGGATCTTTACTAGTTCGAACTTCCTTCTGTTGTGTCAGATCCTTTGTACTGCCCTTGCTTCTGATCCTCACTCATCTTCGGGGGTTTAGTTCTTAAGTTTCGCCTTTCTGAAGCCTAGTCTCACCATCTAATTTAAACTCACCCTGTAGTCATTTTTTATTGTATCCTTGTGCATAGAGCAATCATTTTGATAGTTTGCTTGATGGTTTTATGTATTTTCCTCTAGAAAGTTAGCTCCATGGCAGCAAGAACCTTGTCTGTATTGTTCCCTCCTGTTTCCCTAGTGCTTGGCACAGTCGGTTCTATGATGTGGAGAACAGTTGTGATCTTAAGTGAAGGCATTAAAGGGTAGTTTAGATTTCATGGCAATACAACTTAGGTTTTACATATTTGCTGAAGAATGTGTCTTGGGACAACCAGATGTTCTGAGAACTTTATCATTTACTCTTTGTAAGATCATGTGTAACCCATCCGGTGTGGTGGCTCACCTGTAATCCCAACAGCTTGGGAGGCTGAGACAGGAGGATCACAAGTTCAAAGCCAGCCTCAGCAACTTGGCAAGGTCCTAAGAAACTCAATGAGACCCTATCTCTAAATAAAATATTAAAAAGGGGTTGGGAATGTGGCTCAGTGGTTCAGTGCCCCTGAGTTCAATCCTCAATACCAAAAAGAAAAAAGATCATGTGTAAACTCAGTGGGAAAAGATGACTTTTATAAAGAAAAATGACAGAGTTTTAGAATGAATAATGATCTGGAAGAGCCCATGCTAGATGGATGTGCTCACAAAAGGGGAATTGTTGGGTTGAGTTCATCCTTTTAGTTGATGTAATGAACTCTATAACAGAGAAAAGATTAATGACTGTTCACTTGACTCTAGTAATTTGTTCATTTTTGTCCCATTTAGAGCTATATAAATATAGGGTCAAGGGTCCAGAATCAGAGGTGTTAAATTAATTTATAATTTTTTTTCTGGTTATAGAAATGGAATGTGGTACATAGATGACATATGAATTATGTCCCTTACAGGGATGAATACTTAAGACAATACTTTAGCAGCAAAATCTGTGGATATTCTAACAGGACTAAATGAACACTATAAAGAGATTCAGTATAGGCCAAGATTTGCTTCAAAACACTTTTGCTGAAAATTTAACAAAAATTTGGTATTTAAAAATTTAAATATATTTAAAAAATTTTCAGACTATACATTGTGATATTTAAATTACCTTAAGTTATATTATTATATTTCTGGAAAAAGTATCAGGAGTAAAATGACTTTTGGTGATTGGAATAATAAGCTTTGGTATATCTTACATATGATGGAATACTGTGCAGCAATAAAACTCAAGAAGCTACTCATGCATATAACAGCATGGTTGGTTCTTGAAGGCATTTTGCTGATTGAATGAAACTAGACTCAAGAGCCTATATGTACTGGCTGAGAAGAAGTGACGTACTGATATATGCTACAACTTGCATGAGCCTTGAAAACCTTGTGAAAGAAGCAGATAGAAAAACCACATATTGTATGGGTTCTTGAAATTTCTACAAAGATAGAAAGCAAATAAGTGATTATAAGAGATATTTCTCCTCTGAGTGAATGATTAGTGACTACTTAATGGATATGGGGTTTGCTTTGGGCTGATAAAAATATCCTGGAACCAGATAATGTTGATGGTTGCACACTTTGTGAGTGTACTGAATGCTGCTGAATTGTAGACTTTAAAAATGGTGCATTTTATGTTATGTGTTTTTTTGGGGGATAGGGTGTTTTGTTATGTTGCCCAGACTGCTTTGAAACTACTGGGCTCAAGTGATCCTCTTGTTTCAGCCTCACAGATGTCTGGGACCACAGGCATGTGTCACCATGTGTAGCTTTTTTTTCTATTTTTTTTTAAGACTATACATTGTGATTTCACTTTTGATGTTCTGGAAAAGGTAGAATTTTAGGGATAGAAAATAATGGTTGCCAGGACGTTGGTGCAGGAGCTGACAGATATAGAAGCGTGACAGAGGTTTTGAATGTAATAGATTTTTTTTTTTAATATCTTGATTGTAGTAGTGGTTTATCAATGTTAAATTCACTGAATTTGGTATTATTGTGGTTATGTTAGAGAAGTCAAGAACCATGATACATGCAGTTTTCTTATGGCTCAAAAGAAATATTTGATATATCTGATAGGAGGAAAGAAGAGAGTAATATTAGAGGGGCAAAATGTTGCCAATAGTTAAATCTAGATAAAGAGGATTATGTTTTACTTTTATTATTATTCTTGCAAGTTCTTTGTAATTTGGAAATTCCAATACAGTGTAAAATGGAGCTGGGAGTGGTGTCATACACTTGTAATCCCAGCAGCTTGGGAGGCTGAGGAAAGAGGATCGCAAGTTCAAAGCCAGCCTCAGCAACTTAGTGAGGTCCTAAGCAACTTAGCAAGACCCTGTCTCTAAAATAAAAAAGGAATGGGGATGAGGCTCAGTGGTTAAGCGCCTCTGGGTTCAATCTCTAGTACCAAAAAAAAAAAAAGTTGTAAAATGGACATCAAGCTGATATATTTTATTTTAAAATGTTATTTATTCATTCATTTTGCCAAGCTGAGGATTTAGACAGGGTCTTACTAAATTGCTGAACTTGCTTTGAACTTGGCGGTTCTCCTATCTCAACTTCCCTTATAGCTGGGATT